ATTACTCACAGAGCACTGCTAGGCAGGCTCTGGTGGGGCTGGATGGGCCAGTGTGCCACCATCTGGAGTTGATTATTCATGTACAAGGCCTTCCGTTATAAATCAAGTTCCAAGGATCATGGTGCCAGGGCAGCCTCCCAGGAAGATGGTTAGGCTGGGAGGCTGGGGACAAGGCCTTGTAGAAGCAACTCACAATACCCCTGTGTTCTGGGAAGATCATTGGGTATTCGGATTCTGCCAAGAGTTACATCAGCTGCGGGGCACCCACCTTGGGTGGCCTCTGTGGAGCAACAGTGCACCCTGCTGCCCTAATAGTTCCAACACTGACAGTCAGAGCCCCTTCTCCCCTACCCTGACTCCAGACCCAGAGTAGTAACTAACTGTAAATGTAGTCTGGAGTAAGAATACTCTGAAGATATAACCACTTTAAGATGGGAGATATTCCGTAACCTTATACCCTGTGAGGAGGAGTCTGTTTCATGTTACCATGATGATTAATAACATTGCTGATACTTGTTTTTACTGTGACAATCAAAAGTAACAAAGAGAAACAGAAAAGCTAAACAGTTCTTTGAGGAGCTATCCTTGCTGTTCTCTGGCAATGCTGGCTTTTCTGTAAATAAGAGTGGAACTGTTGCTCTCTCATCCACTGTTGATGAGCTTGGGCGACAGGTGGATGGACTCGCTGGTCTGGCAACAAAGGTACCCCATAAAGTGGTTCCCCCAGAATGCCCTCCTGCCAGGGTTCTGCCTCCTCCCCTCCCCTAGCCCCTGCTGGCTTCCTATCCCCAGGTGCCATGTGCTATTGCCCTGTTGGGAAGAGATGTCCAGGGGCAGGGAGACACAGTTTAAAGGTGCCCTATGTTTTCTCGCTGTCCAGTCCTGCCATCCTGTTTCAGAGGAGGAGTGGATATCAGTAACAAAACTTTGTCTTTCACTTCCATTTTGCTACCATTGGTAGAAATCTCTCCCAGACTTCCTTGGCGACTAACGATATTGAAATGTTGTGGCCTCCGTGGGGAAGTGACAGGTTGTCAGGCCACCATTCCACAGATGGTTGACCCAGTGCAGACTGTAACAGGCAGGTCTCCTTTGGTTGCAAGTGGCAGAAACTCAACTCAAAATGGTTTATGCAACTAGGGATGTTTATAGGATCTTAGAATGGAGGGAAGGTGAAGATTGTTTTGGGGTCCCAGGGGTGACTCTGGGACTAGAATACTGTCTAAGACGCTACTCCCTCTTCATGGAAGCACACCATGGGCTTCCTGTGCAAAGCCAAGCTACCTCACTTCACAGTACACTGATTAGGGCATAGGCATTCCCCATCGCAGGGAGACAGGGCCTGTGACTGGCAGCCCCCACTAAATCCCCACGCAGGAAGGGGTTCTGCCAGTGGTGGTACTGTTCCCAGAAAGGAGCTGCCCTTTCCTGCTCAGCTGTCTTCCTCACAGCTGTCACCTGTCTTTCCACGCCCATCTGCCATTTCTGCCTAAAGCCTGGCCAATGTGCATGGTTAAAACCAACGTTATTTCCAGGGGATAGATGACGTCACAGAACTGGGGTTCCAGAAGGCTGGGGTGGCCCAGCACTCCCTCCTTCTTTAGAACAGGGAGAACTGTTAGCTGGGAGGGGCTGGAGTGTAGTTGGTGAGGAAGAGGAGGTTCCTACCCCAAACGGCCTTGTTCTATAGATCCTCATAGAAAGCCCTGGGCTGGCTGAGACCTGGTGTCAGAGAGGGTTGGGAGAGAGGTAAGCTTCAGAGGGGCATGGGAGCACACCGGCAGAATTGCTGTCTTCCCTGAGGGAACCCCAGGAGAGGGCGTAATGGGCAGGGATGGAGCTCCTTGCTTTCCAAGGCTCAGTGACAGCCATCTCTGAGGGAACCCGCTGAGTCAGAATGGGGTATACCTTCGGGGTTCTCGGAAATTCTAATTTAACTGCGCATCTCCTACTTTTATTTGCTACATCTGGCAACTCTGGGTGATAGAAGGGAAGCAAAAGAATGGTCCTAAACTCAGGTTGGTGTGGAGCGAGTCGTAGAAGGCAGAACAAGAGAGGGGAGTGGAAACAAGCCCAGCCATCACACAGAACTTCCTGACACTGGAAGGCGGAGGCTGGAGGAACCCAAACCTTCACCCTCACCAACATACACCTAGTTTACTGGGAAAGCTACGCGGCCCCCTCAGTGACAAAAACAGCCTCCAGTTTCACTCTCATGGCGCTGACCGTTTTGGAGAATACAGAGTAGTTGTTGTATGGATTTTCCTTCATCGTGGCTTTGTCTGATGTTTTCTCAGAATTAGACACTCCCTATGAATCTGGGGACAGAATACTCCATAAGTGATATTGTGTCCTTATTGGGATGTCACAGCTGGAGGCACACAATGCCCCTCTGTTGCTCATGGGTGATATTAATTTTGACTGCAAGGTCCAAATACTGGCTGCTTTTTCTACTGGACTTGCTGCTTCCCTCCACCCATGCAACTAATAAGCCAGCTGTAGGGAGACCCTAGAAGACTGTGGATGTATCCAGTTCTTTGTCAGGCTTGGCACCATCTCAGATTTAGCCTTGATGATTCTTGCTCACGCCAATCTATAATGGGTGCAAAACGGTGATTTTTTTTCCCCCAACTTTATAACTGCCTCTCTATTTTTCAGTCAGTATCTTATTGTCAGGAAGAGCTCCCTGTTTCATGCTCATTTATCTATTTGTCTATTTATTACATGTGTTATGGACTCAGAGATTTCTATCAGATTCAACACATAATCTGTTGCTATCATATATTTTGATGGGCTAAATATCCCAGAGTACCTTGGAAACCTTTATGCAATGGGTTCTTAGATATGACACTAAAAACCCAAGCAAAAAAAAATTTAAAAAATAGATAAATTGGACATCATCAAAATTTAAAATTTTGGAACTTCAAAGAACACGATCAAATAAGTGAAAGGCAATCCACAGAATGGGAGAAAATATCTGATGATATATAATTTGGGTCTAAATCCAGAATACATAAAGAACTTTATGAAAAAGACAAATAGCTCACTGTAAAAATGTGCAAAGTTTATGAATAGATGTTTGGTTTTTTTTTTTTTCTTTTTGAGACAGAGCCTCAAGCTATCCCCCTGGGTAGAGTGCCATGGCATCACTGCTCACAGCAACCTCCACCTCCTGGGCTCAAGCAAGTCTCCTGCCTCTGCCTCCCAAGTAGCTGGGACCACAGGTGCCCGCCACAACGCCTGGCCATTTTTTGGTTGCAGCCATCATTGTTGTTTGGCGGGCCCGGGCTGGGGATTCGAACCCGCCTACCTTAGGTGTATGTGGCTAGCGCCTTAGCCGCTTGAGCCACAGGCGCCGAGCCGATGTTTTCTTAAAGATATAAAAATGGCCAAACCTATGAAAGGATATATGACATCATTAGTCACCAGGAAAACCACAATGGGATATTAGTTCCCATCTACTGAGATAGCCTTGATTAAAAAGACAGGTAATAACAAGTGTTGGTAAAGAGATAGAGAAATTAGAACCTTCATCTACTGTCACTGGAATGGCAAAATGGTGCAGCCACTTTGGAAGTCTGGCAGACCTCAAAACTTAGAGTTAACACATCACCCAATAATTCTACTCCAAAGACATGACAACATATATCCACACAAAAACTTGAATATTAATGTATGTGGCAGCTTTATCCACAAAGGCCAAAAAGTGAAAACAACCCAAATATCTACCGAATGATGAATGTATAAACAAATTATATACAAAATACAAAGACATATTTTTTAACTACAGAAGGGAATTAATTATCATGCTGCAACGTGAATAAACCTTGAAAACATTATGCCAAGTTAAAGAAGCCAGGCACAAAGGCTGTCTTTTGTGTAACTGTGTATATAAAATGTCCAGAATAGGCAAATCCATAGAAACAGAAAGCAGATTACTGGTTGCCAAGGGCTGGGGGGAGAAGAAATGGGGAGTGAATTCTAATGGATACAGGGTTTTGTTTTGGGTTGATGAGAATGTTCTAAAATCAAACGAGGCAATAGTGTCACAACTCAGCAAATATACTAACTGTTACATTGTACACTTTAACTGAATTAATCATATGGTATGTGAATTGCTTATTGTAAATTACATCTCAATAAAGCTGTTACAAAAATATATTGCCCCTAATTTGGCCAGACAATACCCCTTTCAGCTGGCTCACATGTCTATCTGACATGCCCCAGTCCAAATTTTAAGGACTTTCTTACTTTCTGGTATAATAAGATAATCCAGACTTATCTCATAACCCTTTCCTGCTCCAGCCTGGGAATCAGCCATATTCTCTGTTCTCCTGGTTCCCTTTCGAAGGGATTGTGAAACCAAGATCTGGACGTTATTTCACTTAATTTTCATGACAACTCTTTTAAGTAGGAATGTCTTCTTTCTACAAATGAGGCCCAGAAAGGTTAAGTATGTTACTCAAGGTCACACAGCAACCCAGTCTTTGAAACCTGGCCAGCTCACCAGGAATTGCACAAGGCAGAGTTTGCCCTTGGGGGAAGTCACGTGGCATATGTCTGAGGTTGGGGGAAGATTAGCACTCAGCCTGCTGATCTCCTTCTGAAAACCCGTGGCCACATACACACACACAAATGCTGGTGACAGATTCATTAATCTCCTTTGCCCACCTCACTGCCCACCCTAACACCCAAATGTTGCCCATAGCTGGGTGACCATTACCTATGAATGAAATGAGATCGGCTTTAATTTTTAACTATTGAAGTTGGGAAATAGGTATATGGAGGTTCATGATGTGCTTTTCTTTTTTAAGTGCTTATAGTTGTCTGTGATAAAAATATTTATAAAAGAATATACAAGAGGCCAGAGAATAGGAAAGAGCTAGGTACAAGCAGTGAGTGAGCAAGGGAATTTAACTGCTCTCTTCAGATTCCCCAGGCTCAGAAGACCAGCAAGAAGTCTGGGAGATCCTAAAACTATCACCTTCTTCCCTCGGAGGATGACAAGGGAGCTACTCATCCCCTTGGTCAGCTGTCTCTTTGTCATAAATCAGGCCAGCCTCATCCATCGCTGTGACTTGGCCAAGGTGCTGCACCAGGAAGACTTGGATGGGTTTGAGGGCTACTCCCTGAGCGACTGTGAGTGCCACCAGCCCCTCCCCTGCCATTTCCCCTCCTCTCCTAGTCACACCCTACACGGCCAGCTGCTTTCTTCCCCATTCATCTTTCAAAGCCAAGTTCAAAAAGCAGCCACCTCCAAGAAGCCTTTCCCACACTTCAGATTCATTCAACAATTACGTATGAAGAATTGTTTTAGGTGCTGGGGACACAGAGGACAAAAATATGTCCTTCCCTTTTAGTGTTCACATTCTAGGGGGAGAGAGCAGCAATAAACAGACACACACATATATAAAGTACTGCCTGGTGGTGATAAAGGTGATGAAGAAGAACAAAGCAGGGGCAGTGACAGGTGACACTGTTTTAGATGGGGAACTCAGGGAGGGCCTCTTTGAAGAAGTGACATTGGGCAGCACTGAAAAAAATGAAGGGTCAGGTCATCCAGATGTCTGGGGGAAGAACATTCCAGGCAGAGGGAATGGCCATTACAAAGGCTCCACCCTCCTGCATGAAAGGGTTTCCCCGCTTTTGCCCAGAATTTGTGCATATCTGTCTTGGAACACTTTCTCCTTTTATCTTGCTTTGTGGCTTTTTAAGGGATATGACTTTTATTCTTGCAATAAAAGCCCCTGAAGGCCCCATCTGTGTTTGACCCAGCCGAATGTCCCTCACTGGGCTTTGCACAGTTTCTGGCACCCAGAGGTGCGCCGTAACTGCAGAAAGCATGAATGGATGGAAGGATGGGGGGACGGTTGTACTGACGAATGGGTGGATGGACAGAAGGATGGGAGGGGAAGCCAGTGGGGATTTCTAGCCCTCTAGCTCCACCTAGCCTCCTGTTCCTTTTATCTGATTCTTCCTGTCCCCTTTCTCCTCCACCTCCCTTCTCACCTGGCTTAGCTCCCTCTAAATCCTGATCCTCCTCTCTCCATTCTAAGGGCTGTGCCTGGCTTATATAGAAAGTAACTTCAACATATCAAAGGTCTATGAAAATGCAGACGGCAGCTCTGACTATGGCCTCTTCCAGATCAACAGCCACTACTGGTGCAACGATTATAAGAGTCACTCAGAAAACCTTTGCCGCATGGAATGTCAAGGTCTGGTCAGGGCCCCAGGGTGGGAGAGGTGAGAGAGGAGACCAGGTTCTGCTCACAGGACTTCTCTTTCTACCCACAGCCTGGGAATGCCCTCAGAGAGATGGTCCAAAGAATCAGGGAATTACTGAGCCGAGGGTTGGACAAGTGGTCCTAACGCCCATGCAGTTAGGATATTCTGTAGAGTCCTTCAGCAGGATCCAAAGAGGGTCTGTACAGCCAGTGGTACTAGAGCGGCTGCAGTGGCCAACTTCCACTGAAAGGATACTACATATTGGGCACTTTACATCCATAGCTCACTTCAGCCAATCTTCCATGTAATTTATGATCCCGACTTCCCAGATGAGCAAACTGAGGCCCATGAAGAGAACCAGACCTGAAGGCTCAAACTAACCACTCAGTGGTACTGCCTCCAACCATAGCAGTTTGAGCATAGGCCAAGTGCAAACTCTCCACCTCAGAGCTGATCCAGGAGGCTCAGTAGGGCCCATGATTCCCTCACTACCTCCTTCAAACTCTCACTAATGTCCCTGGCTCCTTGCTTAAAGAGTCCCCCTTGTTAGGCAGAACTTTACCTTGGCCTCTGTGCTGTCTATTTTGGCATTTCCTCTTCCTAGAAAGCCCCCATCCCAAACTTTGAGTGAACCACCATTTACCTGGGCTAGAAAGAAGAGTACTGAAAAACCCCAAATCTCAGTCTTCTTGGCCCTCCTATCTTCACCCCCATCCACTCCTAAACTCTGGCAGCCATTGTAGGGATGTCTAAATGGGGCCCTGGGAGGGAGGCCTTGCCTGGGAAGGGCTGGAAGTATTCAGCCGTTATGTGGCACAGGCCTGTTCAGGGAGAGCCAGTGTCTGCCCCAGTGTTTGGGACTATCCTTTGTTGTCCTCACAAGTTTTTTCTTTCTTCCTTTCAGATCTGCTGAACCCCGACCTTTTCTCAAGCATTCGCTGTGCAAAAATGATTGTGTCCAGAGCAGGAGGGCTGGACAACTGGTGAGGAGAACATGCTGGGACTAAGTTAGTGGGGATGGCTTCAGGAGGGAAGATGAGGTAGAGAAAGGGGCAGCAGGCAAGGACTCATGGGCACTCCCTTGCTGCATTTGAAAAAATGTGGGATAGTGTAAGGGCTTGGAGCTCTGAGCCCGAAGACCTGGATCTGGTTCTTTTCCTGATATTATATTTTAAAAAACTCTTTTGGTTGCAGAAACAGAAAACAACTTCAGCTAGCGGAGGGAGGGATTCATTTTTACAGGACAAGGTGTCTATTGGGGTGCAGCTGAGCCTCAGGAAGGGAATGAAATCAGGGCTGGAAACTGTCAGCGAGCTTTCCATGGCAGGCTTTGGCTTCTCTTGGTGCATTCACTTCACGACTCTCTGCAGATCAGCTTTCTTTGATCCTAAGTCCACAAGACACTATGAGTGCTCCAACTTTCTGGCCTAAAGTCCCAAGCATCTTCAGGGACTGGCTAGGCTCAATTCCCACCCGAGTTCCTGGGATAGAGGATCTGATTGGGTGAGCTCGGACCATGTGTTTCTGGCCCAATCCACTGTAGGCATGGAGGAGTTAAGCAACACAAACAGGGCTGCCACTGGTGAGCTCTTGCCAGGATTGGCAATGTTTTCTATTGAAAGTGTGGCGCTCATCAGCTGGGCAGATGCCCCCAAAGCCATCAGCTCACTAATGGAGGACATTCAGATGGTAACTTGCCTTTTATAAACTCCTGCCTCTGCGGGTGATTGGGAGGATGGAGGGAGTTAAGTGCCTTGCATTCTCTAAACACTGTACAAAAGAGGGACATTGATGATTATTACAGCTGAGCTTTTCTGGAGGGAAAGTCAGTGGTTGCACTTGGGTTTTTTGTTTGTTTGTTTGTTTGTTTGTTTTTATAATAGCTCTCAGCCTTGCAAAACAGCGCTCTCTCCCCCTTCAGAGAGAGGTGAGGATTTGAAAATGTGGAAGCAGACTGATGGGGGGAAGAGAGCCAATGAGGGAAATTTACAGGAAGAAGCAGAGGAGCCAGCGAAGGACATAGCAGAGGGCTAGGAACGAAGGGGATTCTGGATGAAGCTCTGCGTGGAACACTAACCAAGAACTGGGTCATATATGTGGAAAAGCTCCTGAGTAGGAAGCAAGAACCAAGTCTTTTTTTCTCCACAGGATAGAATGGAAGCTGCACTGTGCAGGTCGGCCACTCTACTACTGGACGACAGGGTGTCGCCTATGAAACAGGATGCAGGCCCACTGTTGACTCCTGTCATCACTTGGAGGCGCTTCATTTCTTCTTCTTGCCTCCACTTCATCCTATTTCTTCCCTTCCCATTCACAAGTGACACTGGCCAGAGTCCCGGGAATAAATGGTTTTCGTGGGCTTCCTCCTTGCTTCCATCCAGGCTGAGTTGCGTGGCTCCTGTCTGTCATCTGCAAACCAAGATAAAGAAATGTATAGTTTTTGAATTATTAAAGCATTGCCTTTGTAAAGCACATGTTAATTCATTATTAATTCCATGTGTAGTTGAGTACCTAATGCAATAGAGTGTGCTAGTGACTAGAAGGAAGATAAAATATAACTATTGCTCCAGAGGTTCTTAGGGGTAAGGGTTTTGAAGGCATTGAGGTGGAGAAAGTACTGAGATGGAGAAATGATGATAGGTACTAATGATTTGGGGGTGGCTCTGGAGGGTGAGCTAGAATACAGATAGGATCACTGGATAGGATCCAGTTTGCCTGGAGGGTGCTGATGTAGAGCAGAACTGCTCACAGACAAGGCAAAGGCAGAAAAAGGGACAGTTGGTGCACAAAGTCACCATGAGTAACATCTGACCAAACTAGAGTGTTATCTTGGGCCACTCATTTTTCTACCTCCGAGCCTTAACTGCTTCAGCTATAAGATGAAAATTTTGACTATTCAGTGGTTCCCACACTTTTGGATTTCACAGGCCAGTAAAATGTCAACAAAAATTAAACCTGAGATGTCCAACTTTTAATTTTACTGCCCAAGTAAGAGTGTTGAAACAACTATTCTCTATCTGCTCTCTTCAGAAAACTTTTTTTTTTTTGTAGAGACAGAGTCTCACTTTATCACCCTTGGTAGAGTGCTGTGGCATCACACAGCTCACAGCAACCTCCACCTCCTGGGTTTACGCGATTCTCCTGCCTCAGACTCCCAAGTAGCTGGGACTACAGGCGTCCGCCACAAAACCCGGCTATTTTTTGGTCGCATTTCTGCTGGGGCCGGGTTTGAACTCGCCACCCTCGGTATATGGTGCCAGCACCCTACTCACTGAGCCACCAGCGTTACCCCCAGAAAACTTTTTTTTTGCATCAGATTTCTAGGGAGCTCACACTCACAGGAGAATGCAATGGGATAGAGTTCGTGAAAACAAAACCTGATTATATTGTCCTTTTCTCTTTTAGCTAAGGACAGGTGAAAACGTCACCACAGACAAGCACAGGTCTGAGGACCATTATTTATAAACCACAGCAGACTTATTCTGCGGGGTATCTTCTGGCTCCGAGATTCTGGGATTAAAATAAAGAGTCTTAGGATCCACTTTCCCTCTCAATAAGTACACGATTATGACGCCTCAGCTCCGATGGTGGTGCCCTATTTGGACCTAAAGTTCTATTTCCAGCCCCCGCAACCGAATTTCTCTCTCCTCACTCCCACATCATCTGAACTTCCACAAACGCTCAGACGCAATTTCCTAGGACAACTAAGGAATTCTTTTGGAGGAATTCATGCTAGGCTGTTAATGGCTTAATGAGTTATACTTTGATTTGCAGATTTAAAACTCCTGAAAACACTCAAGTCACAGAACTGCATCATTAGTGGTTACTTCCAACAAGATCAGTAGGTATAGTGCTAACTACCTAGTTCCCTAGTGTCCTCCAGGAGTGAAGATGAAGCCGATTGCTATGAAGTTGTCTGTAGCCTTCCATCCCATAATCCCATCATAGGATCTGTCGTAAAACATACTAGGGAAGACGGACAAAACTCAGAGACTGGGGCTGTATAGCTCGAGGAAAGGAATTGACCGAGAAAACAGCTTGGAGTGGGAAGGACTAGCGAGAGATGCACACGCCGGCCCCGCCCTGCCATAGCGGCCCCGCCTCTGAACGCGCCCCCTTTTTAAAAAAGCGCGGGCGTGCCTTGCGCAGGCGTAGTACTGCTCAAGCCTTCACCGCGCAGGCGCAGTGACGATAGGATGGCGGAGACAGTGCCTTTTGTGGTTCCAACCGAGAGTGACAAAACCTTGCTAGTTTGGGAGCTGAATTCTGGACCTACGCCCGAGGCTTTGCGTGTGAGCCGGGGCCAGGGGGGAGGGAGGGATGGAAAAGCCACCCACCCGCTGACTGGGAGTCCCAGAGTCCTGCCTTAGCACCTCACCTGCCTGGTAACCTCTGCAAGAACTCTAGTTCTGTAGGCGGCCCCCGCAGTCACCTAGCCCCCACAGATTTTACAGAGACCCAGAAAAACCTCTCAACCGCCAGCACATTTTGTCTTCCAATGCTCCTTAAAGCTCAGGATTTAAGAGGGAAACTTGTAATGAAATGAGAAGGGTTTTGAGTTGCACTCATTGTGCAGAAGGGCTTGGGGAATATGAGGGAATGTACACTTGTGTTTTCTGGGCATGGGATTTCATGGACTTACTTTGGCGTGGGATTACCCCCACAGCATTCTCTGTACACAGTGTTCTCTCAATTTGGCCTTCTGTATTCAGTTCGGGTCTTTCCAAATGCTGCAGTGGCCCGTCCTGGTTTCTATGCCATCATCAAGTTTTATTCTGCAAGGGATGCCCACAGAGCCCAAAAGACATGCGACCAGAAGCAACTTTTCCAGGAATCTCCAGTGAAGGTGGGTCCAATAGGGAATTATTCCCTCCCCTGGAATGAAGTACTGAATTCAATAATTATAGGCTAGTATTTGTCTGGCACTATGGTTCACAGAATACTTTCATATGCATTGCAAGGCTGATCCTCTAGTTCGTCAGTTTGTTTTTGATTTTTTAGATGAAGAAACTCAAACTTGGGATGGTTAAGTGACTTGCATGTGGATTGCCTGAGCAAGAGTGAGACCCTGTCTCTAGAGAATAGGTGGGTGTTGGCTTGGCGCCCATAGCTCAGTGGCCAGGGCTCCAGCCACATACACCAGAGCTGGCGGGTTCGAATCCAGCTTGGGCCTGCCAAACAATGACAACTACAACCAAAAA